ATCGTTCTTCCTCTTTGCCTCAAAAAAGTTCGTGCAACATATCACAATCCAGTGTGACATCAATGTTCTATTATTGACAGTCATTTCTAAAATATTACTTTTAAAGCACAAGTAAATATTTCATTTAGCTGGATAGTATTTAAAACTAGAAATTCTGTATCAACATACATTCTCGTATTATTTATACATAAAATATTAGGCTGGACCGGTGCGCAACTTCGTACTTTGCGAATAATTGATTTAAAACTCAAATTGCTTCTTTGAGCGGATAACCCTTGAATTGTGTATTACAGCATTGTAGGTCCGGTAATGTATTAAAGAAACCATTTTAATAGTGCTAAGAGTTGATATTACATTGAACAGAAAAATTAAATCGTGTTTTTTCAATTTTATAATGAATGATAGTTTCTGTCTTTTTTTTCTTGAATTTAATTTTACGAAGTTTTAGGGTTCCAGTTTTTTTCTCACCCCCCCCATGCTAGGACGTGTGGGCACCCAAAAGAATAAATCTCCAAATATGTAATATAATGTTCAAAAAGGTTTCATTTTGTTAGAACACAGCTTAACAAAACACAATTTGGGATCTGTCCCCCTTCATTTCCCTACATGTGTCCCATCCATCCTGCACCAGCCCCTCGTCATTTCTTCACCTCTTCTTACACAACTCACCTGTGCCCACAAAATCTAGGGCCTTAAAATCAGATTGTAGTGCCCTTCTTAAAATGTGTGTTGCAATAATCTGTCTTTTACGTCATTTGCAAAAATGTTCCGTCTTAAATCTGTTGGGAGAGTGTATTTCCCTATTCTGCGATACAATTCGTTCAGGATTGTATGTTATCAGGGGTTCAGGAATGTATAAGTATTTGTATTGTAATAAATTGCCTAACGCCTTCATCGATCCGTCACGTATTTTATCTAGAGAGGATTATCTGAACACGTGCCAAAACTCCTCACAGGTTAACTCGACTGCATAGCGGTCGGAGCACTAAAATGTGACATCTCAAAAATCGCAATTTTTACTTATCGCTTCTTAACTAGTACTATAGGGAATTAAAGTTTTGGAATCACATCAACAGTACGATCTAAAATTTTCGGTCATAAAATCTATGTCAAAAGATATTTGAGGCATAACTTCGCACATACGTTAGGGTTCAGAAGTAATTGGTCCAAAGATGGTTAGGATTGGTGCAGGTGAGAAGTAGAAACACGCCATTTTGCATACAAAAATCGGGATGTCTGGCTCTCTTGTCTATCTGAATGCGGTTACGCACAACTCTGTCAGATTAGAAACTTTTGTGCTGAAAATTGGTAAACTCGTCAGAAGGAAGATTGTTCCATCAATAAATTCTAACTTTGAGGAATACTTTCCATAAACCCGTGAAACTCTTTCAAAAGTTTCTGAAAAACTGCTTCAATTTTTTTCTTATTTTTTTAATAGAATAGGGAAAAGTGCATTTATAAGTAGGGTATACTTCCAATTTTCATTAAAACCTCTGAAATTTTGAAAACTGTACTAGCTCCAATATTTTTCGAATATGTCATACACTTCCAACATAAAGCCAACATAAAGGTTACTTCTCGGTGCAATTTATCCCTCAGTCTTAAATCTTTAAATGATGTCACGAATTTTTAAAAAAATATATGAGTTGTTGAGCAATAACTAACTAGGAGGAGAAAAAGTTTAAGTATGTCGTGCACATCCCTTAATTTTCTAATTGCTCTCAAAACAAGGCGGAATGCTGAGTAAAGCTCATTGCCTTTGGCCGTATAAAGAGCTCGGCTCGGCTTAAAATTGCTCTCCTCCACATAATTTGGGATGTGGCACTTTTCCTGTACACGGACGATGATATAATACACATCGTCGGTCGTGATAAATGGCGAGCTTCTTCCCTTGAGGATCGCCTCATTGATCCAACACGTTCTTATACGATACCAACCAGCAGAAATGTTGGCGCCGGCTTAGAATTGACTTTAAGCGCGAAGGCTTTCGCGTAATACTCTATACTACATTATAGGGAGGAAAAGTATTAGAATCACTTCAACAATACGCTCTCAAGTTTCCGTTCATAAAATCTGCGTTTAAATATTTTTGAGTTCTAAATACGCACATACGTCAGGATGAAGGTTGGATGGTTGGATTGGTTGGATGGTTGGATGGTTGGATGGTTGGATGGTTGGATGGTTGGATGGTTGGATGGTTGGATGGATGGTTGGATGACTGGATTAATGGATGGTTGGATGGATGGTTTAATGGTTGGATGGATGGTTTGTGTGACACATACTTCCATCCACCCATCGATGGATGTGTGAAAGTATGTGTCACCGACAACTGTCAGATTAGAACATTTTCAGCTAAAACTTTGTAAACACGTCAAGGGTAAGATCTAGTTGTGCCTTTTCGGAAATCAATAAGATATTTTAATTCTGGGGTACTTTGCATGAAGCTCCTCTGGCATTTTCAAAATGTTTTCTCGTGTTCACTCCAATATAGGAAAGTGCATTTATAAACAGGGTATCGTTCCGATTTCTATTAAAGTCCCTGAAGTTTTAAGCACTGCAAAAATTCAAATAGTATTTTTAGAAAATCAACTACTTTCTTAGTATTAAAGCCAGATATTTTTTTGTCAATCCAATTTATCTTTCAATAGTAGATTTTTAAATCATGCCATGCATTCCTTTTCAGAAAATTGAGTGGTTTTTCAGAAATTACACTTGTAAGAGGCTGCGTGTGCCGAACATTCCCGCTAGTTTTAATTCAAAACAATTGTTTAAAACAGCACCTCCAGAGAATTCAATGTTTTGTGCTCTACCTTTACAAACATGTTTTTAAATGACTCTTTTTTTATAAATCATTTGTACGTATTACGTGGAAAATTTCTTCAGTTCATCACAAAGTTACGCAGAAAATAATTTCGATAAAACTGTTTGTGTGAAAAAAGTAACGAATAGTTGGCATCGTCTTTTATCCAATGATTAAATAAAATTGCAGTGACAGTCTATGATTTAAAAACTGATTTTTTACAATCTTAAATAGGTATTTACTTAATTTCAAAACCAATTATATTGTTTACGATTTTTTCTGTCCATACTTTTGTCCGGGTTATCTAGAGAACGGCTAAACCGATCTTGATGGGGTTTTCTCTGAAACGTAGAGTATTTTTATACGCGTACTCAGACTATTTTTTAAAATTATTATTATTAAATTTTTTATTGAATTGATAAATAACAATGTTTTATGTTAGTTTTTGCATGAAAATGTATAGTTTTCTTCAGGAAATTTTGTACACATAACTTTCAAGGCATTAGAAAAGTTACTTTGAACATAAGATGTCGTAAAACTATTCCCATCGTCCTTCCTTACCCCCTCAAAGCAAAACTTAAGTGTGTACTCTTTCAGTTTTTTGTAATAGTTCGAAAACAGTGAGTGAATCTATAAAAAATAATTAAATATTTCTGACAGCCAATAAAACTCCCTACTAAATGAATTTTAATGCATTTCAAAAGCACAATTATGCTTTGAGAAATAAAAATTGTTACTGGGAGTTTGCCGTGAAAATGCAATTATGTCCACATCTGTTTACAGCTCCCCATAATACAGATGGCGGTAGCAACGTGATCATAGCAACCTTAGAAGGCGGAGTGGGGCGGGGTGAGGAGGCTTGTGGAGGATTGGTTAGATGGGGCGGACAGGGCAGACTACGGTGGGTGAGGACGGGGTAGGGCGAGGATACACCACTCATAGAATTCATTCCTTTTCCTATCTAATATTCGATTGGGAATATGTTCCTGGGCAACACAGGATACTTCAGCCAGTTAAGAAATAAACTTTCAAGATTGAAATGAAAAGTTTAAAGCAAATGAACTTCTGCAATTTTCGAAGTATCAGAAGTTTTAATGAAAAATAGGATAATTTTGGTACACGTTTTGTTCAGACAGACGGGCTAATAGACCGACTTTTTATGAAAATCGATTTCAGTGACTCTCAAAATATTTTTTCGCCAAATATCGACTTTAACTTTTTTCAACCTTATAAAATCATATTACTATATAAATATTTTATATAATTAATATAAATATGAATTATAACTGATATTTATATTAATATAAATATTAATTATAATTTTTGGAACAGGTGTGTTAAATATAATTCTTCCAATACAGTATTTAATAAATAGCAAATATGCGACACTTTCAATGTAAGCACACTTCTGAGTAAAAACCACATTTGTTCATAGAGTTCCTCTGTTAACTCGGCAAATCTAACTATATATACACAGTTCCTTGAATGAGAATTTAGTGAGAAATATTCGAGATTGACTTCCACCATCCTCCCCCCTCTCTGTCTTTTTTGGCGGATGCACATATGCCCCCACTCACATTTTCTCTGAGTCAATGAATCGTTGACATTTAAATCAGTAATTTATTGCCATTAACTTTAGATAAGAGCGTCGATAAATACGCCGAAAAAAATTGCGTGCACAAAGAAGGATTCAAACTGTTCTGCTTGAATCTACTCGGCAGTTTCCAGTTACCAACTGTTCAAGAAATAACTCATTTGCCTGAACTTGCGAACTTGTGAACCTCAACACCAATTCCAAGACTTCTTCCGCAAGAAAAGCTGTGAACACTGCCCAGGTCACGTGGATAACACATGAACTTTACAAATGGTATTCTAAATTTACGAGTGATCCACGTTGCTTGGGTAGTAAGCATTTTCAATTTTATTTATTTGATTTTTTTCCACAAAATTCCCTGTATTTCTTTTTGCTCAACTCATGTTAATATTTGAATTTACTCCTCCTTACTAGAGACCCACCGAGGATGGGAAAAGTGTTTCCCGAAAGTTAACTCTGGGTAATAATTAATAAAATTATTAAACTTTTTGTGGACGATTATTTCCTTTACAATACTATGAATTACCAGAAGATATCTGCTACCGCCACGGAATTTACATAAACAATATTACTTTTGGCATCCGTGAATGAGTGTCTTTTTTGCAGGGGTGAGAATCGCCCGGGCTGCTACGTCATCCGACCAGTTCCTGGCGAGTCCAACAAGTCGCGAGTGGAATGGTACCTGGACACCAACCTGAAGGGATGGCTTCCTCAGAAGATTCTCGACGCAGCTTTCTGTTCGATATTAACAGAAAATTTGAAGAACTTGAAGAATTATATTTCAAAGTGAATATTTAATGTATTTCAGCCTTAACTGGAATTTCTTATTTAAAATGATAAAAAAGGCTTTGCGCCATCTTAAAAATATTAATACGATGCATTTAGCAGACAGTAATACATTACAAATTATATTACAAAAATGCAGTAATGGAAATATAATTTAATGATTTTATTGTGATATCATTACTGAAAAAGTACTTTGTACTCTTAAGGGTACTAACTAGTCTGGGCCCAACGAAAAAAATCATTCTCAGGAAATGGGATACCAATGTACAAACGAGTGCATGTGTGCAATTATTTTCAAATAAAGATTAACGCTCATGGAGCTTGAGATATTTTTATTGATATCAAATTGGAGGATGTATTTTTTCATATTTTATTTCCTGTGTCACTTCCCACACGTTACGTCAATATTAACGCTCTTAAGAAAAAAACTAGAACTAATCCAAAAAAATCTAAATTAAAGGAGAAAGTTGTTGGGGTCATTTAGTCCACGTCAAATTTTTACTGATAAATATTCTCCACATTCAAATGAGTTATTTGTGCCTATAGGCATTGAGAATAGAAGTTCAAGATTCTCTCAACATTTATACCAGCTCTCTTCATTTCCTTAGTCTTTGATGTTATCTGATGTAACGGGAAAATTCATTTAAGTTTTATTTGCCAACTATATTTTCTAACTATGATTAATTTGAGTTGATATCTGTGATTCAACATCCTACTGTTAAACTTGTATTTACGAATGAAACAAAAAGAAGACTAATTAAGTACTTAATGCATTCAAAATAACACGGTTAATATTTCTTTTACTTTACTCTTAATACGAGTACATAGCTTTCTAGTACGGTATGCAACCTTAATTTTCCAAATTAAAAAAACAGGAGAATTACTAATTCGACACTCATAACGTAAGGTTGATTACTTGAAGGAAAAACAATATTGTCTCTTAAACGGAGAAATTATGTTATTACAAACACAAGTGTTCAACAAAAATTCTCAAAATATTTCAAGTTTAAATTTATATTTATTTAGTAAAAAAACAGGTAAATTTGTATGTGACATACGGGCGAAAAGGTCATCTGCGCACATTTATCACAATGCTAGTCAGGACAGCAAATGTTGCTTAATAGTCGAATTATTGTTACAATTTTCTCTATGCTCAATTAAAAATTAATTTTCTTACTTCATTTCCAGTTCAGAGCAGAATTTATAAGGCAAAAATTAGGCATTAAATGATACTCAGCTTTTTTGTCCTGAAAATATTTCGAAAGATTTGCAAAGAAAATATGTATATATAGTAATGAGATGGAGAAAGTGCGTTGGGCAAAATAAGTGTTGTGTTATAATATAACTGTTGGAAATCACGAGAAATTAATAAGTCAGATCGAAATCAAACGCAAAACCTGCTCACACGAGAGAATTACAGCTGACCCCCCGACAAATTGAAATGTCCTTCGCCACTCGAGGGGACCTCCAAATGTATTAATTCATTCAGCACGTAATGCCCAGGCCTTCATTTGGTATTGCAGCATTAACGCAAGTAATGCGCTAAACGTTACGTTTTACAGAAAACAAAATTTTTGAAACAAATAAATAAAACGTATTCAAATCCAAAATTTCCCTCGTTGTTCCCCATAGTTGTAGCCACAAGCGCGAAGCGGAAAATAGGCGGTGCCCTCGAAGTCAAACGCGAAAAGGGCAGCAAGTGGACGTTTCGCAGCAGCACAAAATATACAGAGAAAAAAAATATGTTTTTTATATCGAGCGCTCGCTATCCCTTCCACACGTCGTGGGTCTCAATTAAGGCTTATTGAGCTCGTTGAAGGCGTTTCAGACAGCTGGCGCATGCCGCGGCGCCCCCAGAGGAGTCCAGGGCGACAGTGGACAGGAGGGACCGCGTCATTCGGGGCCCCAGGGGGCGATGCCCATCGCTGGACACCCGGCAGAACGTCTCTGTGGCAGTGCGCTCGCGGACAGAAAAGAATTAAACGACACATTTCTTTCGATTTAAATTGGGTCGAATGCATGCAGGAGGACTCGCCCACCCGTGATTGTAATGTTGATATTTCTACGAAAAGCGTAGTCTTGTGTTATACGTAATATGATTTTATGTTATTGACAAACGTGGCATTTAATCACCTGGTAATGTTTTTGAAAATTGAAGACGTGTGAAAAAGAAAATCATCATGCATTGCAGATTACACTTGGTAAGAATGCATGAAATGTATATAATTTTTCCCTCTCAAACATAAGTAATTTCAAATTTTGACGGTTTTCTCTCTCAAATTGGGCTAAACCATGTAATGATAGTACATGAAAATAAAATTTATTTCTGAACAGAGAACATTCTTTAATTTTCGTAAATACTTTTTTACTTTACTATCTTTTCAAATTATAAAAGTGATGAGTGAAAAAAAATCACATTAGAACTTGATAATAGATTTTGAAGTGCTTTTGACTGCAACTATTTATTCAGATCCTTCAGTTAATAAATTTATTATTATTATTATTATTATTATTATTATTATTATTATTATTATTATTTTATTATTATTACTATTATTTTGTACTTCTTTATATTGTTTTCTGTCAAGTTTTTATTTCTTTCATAGTTAGTAACTATCTTTAAAAACATCTAGATTGTACACAACGAGAACAAATAAGTCATGTAAAAAATATTATTTTTCTAAAGTTTCTTCTGAGTTTGAACTTAGTAAAAGATCTGGAAGTTATAACCAAGATGTCTCAAACAATTAGAATCGAAATGTAAGAACAGATGACAAAAACACAAGTTGTTTAAATTCTATTAAAAAGAGCAAAGGCACTTTAATTGAAACATTTAATGAATTCAGGATCATCATTGTGATGACACATTAACATTTTCTATTGAATATTTTTAAACATTCATTTAAACACTGACTTCTCAAAATATTTTTTCCCCTATAGGTTGGTGTTTTGCTTCTGACCAGTATAGGGTTTTTGGCATCTTCATTAAGCTTAGAATATTCTGATCATCTTATTCAGTTAATAACAACCAATGAAGAATATCTGACAAATAATCCTATGTTGTTGTCAGCGGGTAAGTAAAAAATCTTAAATTCAAAGTCTTGATGAATTTGACTGTAATATTTTGAAACCAAGAAGTAGCATATAATTGTCCACTTTCTTTTTCAGAGCTCTGTTCATCTATAGCAATAGTCTTGGGATGTATTGGCTGTTGCATTCCTCTGCAATATTTAGGGAGAAGATCTACTTTGGAACTGTTATCGGCTCCTCTCCTCATTCTTGGTTGTTGTATGACTTTTACATTTCATCATTTACTGCAGCAAAGTCAACAAAATAGTCTTTCAAATTATATTGACATCATCCTCTTTTTGGGAATATGTTTGCAAGGCATCTCTTGTGGTTTTACATTTGTTGCGGCTCCAATTTATATATTAGAGACAATTGGAAAAGTTACCAATCCTTCATTTTCTATTGGTATACTACTCCTAGCCACTCAAATGTCTACAACCACTGGATTATTACTTGCAAATGTATTTCCAGTTACTCATGAAACCTATTTTTGTCATCTAATACCTGCTGCATTTAATGTTTTCTCTCTGATTGGTTTTAATTTCTTACCAGAGTCTCCCAGGTGGCTTCTGTTAAAAAAGAATCGTTTTGTTGATGCAAAAAATGCTCTTAGTATGCTGAAATTTAGCAAAAAAGATGATTATGAGAGTACTGCACACTTAGAACATCTCAAAAATGAAAATGAAAAATTGAAAGAAAACAGAAATATAACTTCATATATACATCCTCTACTATTAGGAATTGGGTTATGTTCTATATGGTATTTGCATGGTGTGCATGTCTATGAATTTTACGCCTCATGGACAATGAAATTTGCTGGTATATCAATGAAATGGAAAATAGATTCAACTCTCCTAAGTTTATGTATTCGATTCAGTGCAGTAAGTGTTCTTGCAGCTATGTATCTTATAGTAAAAGATATTAACTTTCATACAACTTTCCTTACTTTTGCTTGTGCAATAGTAACATTATCACTGACTGTCACGGGGTTGTGTTTTTATGGATTTGAGGAAGAAACTACTTGGGTCTCATACCTATGCTGGCTTCCTCTTTCGACATTCCTTTTATTCCAATGTGCGTTTTGGCTAGGACTTGGATCTCAAGTTTACATACTTGCAGTGATAATTTCTCCACAAGCTTTCCGTCCCTCAATTGCAAGTGTAGGAGGAGCCATGTTTTGGTTGGGCGATATGTTCAGTTCAAGACTTGTAGTACCTATGATAAGTACACTTCATCCCTTTGGAACTTTCTGGTTTTTTGCAGGGATGTCAGCTATAAGTTTAATTTTTGTACTATGCTCTGTTTTTCCTGAAATGCACACTAAAGATTTAATACCTGAATTGCCTTCACACAAAATTTCAAATACAAAAGCCTTGATAGTTGATGAAATTAATTGTTTGTATTCTATTTCTCATAAGCCTACACCTCCGGCCAACTAATTCTTTTGTAAATAATATTTTAATAAATAATTAATATTAAATTTAAATTTTTCATTCACCCTATTTATTCTTAAAAAATGTACAAAATTGCGGTAATACAATATATTGTGAAAAATAAATCATCCCTGATGATGAACCAAGCTTGAGAGTTAAGTAATATCTCTGCAATATTTATGCGCTTCATGATTTTGTTTCAAAACATTCTACATCCCTTCAAGAGACAAACACCTTTTACCAGGCTGCGAATGCCGGATGTAAGAAGAAAAGTAGTATAGAACGTAAGTAGTAACTACACTCCTCCATGGCATCCCATTCCGGATTGGGGGAGAACATGGGAAGGGGAGAGAATAGAAGGTAAGATTGCATGTGTTGAACGTAAGGGCTACAGCACCGGCATTCGCCTGGAAGTGATCATTGAAACCACCGGACACATCAGTCGACCTACGAAAGCGTTAGCCGCCAAAAACTCGTTGATCTTCCGAAGCATATTTCAGGCACTTGGCTGGAATCGAACTCGCAACTACTCAGTCATCGGCGTGTGACATCGACAGTTTGGAGATCACATCTAAACCACATGATGGCATTATTCTAAACGTAGCATCCAAAGCTATATGTGCCTTCGCGTTGAATTTGACAGGCAACAGATGGTTATAAGGAATTTTCATGCTTAAGTAGTTATTTGTTCTTCCAAATGTGTTCACATTCCATCATCGCGATTTTTATTTTATTCTCGATCAGTAAAAGTGTGCAATGTTTTGTCTGCCTGCATCCAATTCTACGAGCGTAGGAGAAGTCATTGTTGTTAACGGTGTGGGGGTACTGAAGTAGCAGTGGCATTAGGGGGATGGTAAATAATGAAAGAAACCAGAAAGAAAATTTTTTTCCAAAAATTCAATTTAAATATAATTTTCAATTGACTTGCCTAGTAAAGTAAGAATTTTGTGAGTTACCGCTACCTAGCTTTGAACTGAAATGTTACCGGAATTATTATTCAAGTAGCTTAGAAATATTCCGACTATTCTGAACGGTCTTCCAAAATATTCTCTCTCAGGGGGAAGGCAATGCCTTATCCTGCCCTCCCACCTCTCCTGCAAGTTCACCGTTCGAAACTCATCTGTTTTTTTCTCCTTCCGCGGATTTCGTGTAATGTATAATAATAAATATGTGATGCAAAAAACTAAAAGGGACTATATGTCGCAGAATTTCAAAAGTGAGTTATTTATGCCAAATTATATACAATTAAATTCCTAACAATTTGGTGTAAAAATCTTCGAAATATATAAACATTTGGCGAAGTTATGGTAGTTTGCATGTTTGTTATAGGAAAAAGGAGTTTTAAGAAAAACGCGTTTAAACTGTCGTAATCTAAAAAATCACAATATTTTCAAACATTAAAATATTTAAGAAGTGAAATTAGCTTACAAATATCTTTGGAATGTTCTTTACTAAACTAAATACAATGAAAAAAGAATTAACATATTTTAGTTCCCTGCGTATCACGCAAAACTTTGTTTCCCGACAAATTTTCTTTTTAGTTTTCCGTATCACATATACGGTTTTTATTTAACAAAATCTAAGATGCCGTTTATATTGTGTATAACTATCAGTGGTCTGGAGATATTTAACATCCTTGAGTAAAATAAATGCAGCTAAATGCATTGATAGTAATAATACGAGAAGTTGTAATCGTGAATACTCTTTATGTAGTTTCGTTTTCTTTATTGTAACTATCATCAATTAATAAATACAAAGTGCAGAATAATTCGAATTCGACAAGTAATTGTGAAATCATCATCATCCTCATCATCACACCCTCCTTGTACCAACTGAAATCACTATCCTATTTGTACTTAATTCAAATGAATGCTCCAACCGGGGGGGGGGGAGTGCTATTGGCTGGAAGTAATCGATCTGCTACTATGGAAACAAAAGCGCGTCGATCAAACGAAGGGTGTGCAAGTGCACAAACACTATTCGGAAAGATTGTGTTAATACGTTTCTGGTGTTGTCTGCAGAATATATTTGTATTTAGGTAAATATTACTGTATATTTATTGAATGTTTTTGTATTATAATGTTCTAATGCAAGTATCTTATACATTTTGAAGATCATAAACAAGTTTAAGTGCGACTTCTTCCATGCTCTCATGAGTCACAGTGAACTCTTATCTTATTCTTTCAAATTGTTAACTTTACTTCATCTATATTTCTACAAATATTTAAGAAAAATATTTGAGGAGGCTAGGGGTAGTTTGTAATTTCAGAAAAAAGTATTCAGTAGGCTAAATAATTTGTCCTTTCTAAAGTGCTTTTATTAACATAACTTTTTTCTTTATTTTCTTTTAAAATATATTACATACACTACATGAATGAACAATATGAACACGAAGATCAAGATAATTTTAAAAGAAGAAACATAATATCAATTTAGATATTTGGAATGGAAGTTACCATTTCCTTTCAATTAAATTTCGCCAAATTTTATTTTATTATTTTAATGAGAAAATTTAATTATAAACTAATTATTTAATTAATTATAAACTAACCATTTAATCATAAACTAATTATTAGCAATATACCTTGCGATGGTTTTGCACGCAGAGAGATTAATTTAATTATAATTATTGTATTGATAATTAAAATATACTTATGAGGGTACAATTATTTTAATATTCGATTACGATTTTGTTATTAGAAGATTTATAACGCCAAAAGGTTAGTGAATTTAATTCTCAATCTGTCTACAAAAAATACGTAGGCTTGTGTTTACAAAGACTAGGGTTCTGTTATAAACTTTAATCTTCTATTAGTGTATATCTCCTACCTATGCACAAAGGTGCATTTGCCAAGGATTTTAGTGAAGCGATCTAACAGGCTCTACTACTGATGATTTGCTTTCTACGTTCTCCGCTTAGCTTGTAAGAAAATAAGATATTGTAATCGTGCGCTCGAAAACGGCGGTTTTTAGACAAAATCTCTTGTTGCCGGGCGTGAATAAATGTGTTCCTATGTGTAGTAAATTAATTTGCATTAATTAATAATTAGTAAATTCATATGTAGTAATTTTGCGTGGAATATATACAGTTTTTTAAACAAATTCTTTAAAACGGTTCCAATTTTCTTTCTCTTAATTTTTTCTTGGATATATCAGATATTTAAAAAGTCATGAAAAATTGTATGAAAAATAGCATTTTTCGCGTAATTTCTTCTGGAAGTTCATTGCAACTTATAAAAAAATCTCAAAAAATGCTCAAATTTTTCTCTTTGTCCGGGGGTGGAAGAATAGACGCTTAAAAGAATGACACAAGTCTAATTTTCGATATAAACAATTCGAGAGAGTATGCGCTTTTGTAGCACCACTAGTTAACATTTCATTTCATGAATTCCTTATAGAGAATTCTAACGAGCGGGCCACGGACCGCGCGCGATCTTTCTTTCCTCTTCCTTGTCACATTCTTACATACAAACAAGCTTACTATACGCGCAAGTTTTCTTGATATACAGCGGGGGATGCGGGGAGAGAAGGTACCTGGCTACGTCACGGCTTTAAGGGCGTACCAACTGTGGACATTAACTTTACTCGCCAAAGCGTGTCACGACAAATGCTAAGATTGTTTTGAAGGTTCGAAGTGATTGTTGGCAGCATTGCAAACTGGTACATGGCGTTCCGAGTCGAACTTAAGTATTTCAACGTGCCGTGCTATTCAGCGCTGGGTGAGGACTAGGGAAGAATCAAGAAAACTTGCGCGAGTAGTACACTAGCGTGAACTACACTATCACAAATGCCGGGAGAACAGTCGGGAGCTTAGTGAATGCCCGGCTGGGGGGCAGTCCCCCGCTGGTGGGAGATACCTTATACATTAGGGAAAATCCCGCAAGCCGACCAGTATATTGGCGCCGGGTTTCGGCATCCAATCCCCACCCCCTTCCGCGACAAAAACTTGCACTGCACATACGGAACTTACCTTAGCAGTTGATGCGCCCGGCATCACTAATCAATCAATCAAACATCGTGGAGTTTTTTTAATAGTCATTATATCTTAACTGATCACCTTATTCATATAGATATTTAAATTTTACAGTAAGTAATTAAATCGGCACACGGATTTATACAAAAAAAATTAAATAGAAAAAAATATACACAGGGGAACCATGCAAGAAATTAATATTCTGGATGATCAATAAAAACACAACTGTTGTGAACAAAATAAAGAAACATTGTATCAGTAATATAATTAAAGAATCATTGTTAATTATTTAATATTACCATTCAATTAAATAATTGTTTGGCAAAACGAAGGTGGGATTTGTACATATGAAATTAATGTTTTAATATCTGGACAGTATATTATTTTTGTCTTTTGAAGAAAGACTCACCATTTTCAAGCAGACATATCACTCAGCATATGCCGAGTTGAGATGGTTCTTGAAAGACTGTCTCCAAAATTATTTAAGACACCAAACGTCAAACGTTTTTAATTCTAGTATTACCATAGAATTAATCATTGTATTAATTTTAATTTTAATATACAAAAAATTGTAACCTGAGTTTTAACAACTGATTAATGTAATATACATGAGTGACTGTGGGAGCAACTACTCGGATTCAGAGTACTGGATTTATATCCAGTATAGGTAGTGTATTCACAAAGTGATAGTGGAGTGGAAGACAAGGCCACTCAGTCAAAATCCTACTAAAAGTCAAACGTAGTTCTCTGGTTGAGGATTTTCACAAAAATGGAAGAAAATTAGAATATTAACGTATTTGTATTCACTTCAACTACTTTCCTTAAACTTTTATTCAGTATTATTTTATTATAAAAATTAAGCATAAGTTATGAATAAAATATCTTCTATAATTCAGAATAAAATCGTATTTTCTTCCAAAAATATTTGTGTATGTGACTGTATATGTGCATTTATTAGTCCCTGTAAAACTCCACTAAACTACTAGAATTTTGCTCTTCACTAATATACCGCTCAGAATATTTTGTGTGAAATCGAATTTCAGTCGCACAGTCAACCAACTGCATCAACATGGGGGAGCTTCCACAATGCACAGCAGTGTGTCCAAGTTACATGCTGAAACTGAAGCGCGAAGACAAGCCTCTTATAGCAAAAATTCGTAGAACTGGTCATTTGAAAGGAAAAGCTGTTGTAAGGCTTGTCAATCATGACATGATTCGAGATTTATTGATTCCTTCTGGAAGGCCTAATAGATATCCAGCCGTTTTTCCGAGAAGTCAGTTTGAAGAAATCAAAATGAAAGCAAAGGTATATTACTTTTAGTACCTAATTTTAAATTCTATGCTTTGAGACAAAAAATGTAATGAATTTGCATTAAAAGGAAATAAATTACAAATCTATCGACTTTGTTATAAATGTTTCACTCTCGTTAATCCGTCCATCCTCTAAAATGTGTTGAAATGAGAGTGCAGAATTTCACAAAAATGTAACTCTCTTACCAAGTAGTCAGTGACAACAAATCGTGTTATAAAATTAAGCGTTTCGTAACGCTTTTAACATACAATATTCTTTATCGGTGACTGTGCAAAGAAAAAAATAGGGTAAGGTGCTGGATTGTTTTGGCTGGCTACTGAGTATTGGATTAGCGACAGTGCACTAAATATCACGTATTTTATTGTTTCGTAATCATTTGTAATATTTTAATATTTTCTATTTAAAAAAGCACTTAAGTATACCAGAAAAAATTGCATTATTGAATGAAGAAGAGGCGAAAAGAAAGGAAGAGGAAAAAGAGTGCATGAGGCGTCGAGTGGCATTGCAAGATTTCGACATCGGGAGAATTGCGACGGGACCTGATGTAAGTACTGTTGATATCCCTTTTTATTAGTTAGATTTACTGATAGCAAGTAATCCCAACTAATAAAAAAGGAAGATATGTAAATTATATGTATATCATTGAAGCCAGTCAGTTGGTCGAGTTCAAAATATTCTGGTCATGTTTCATGATTTTAGCCTGCCGTATGACTTTTAACAATGATTTGTATTTTTTTAAGTAGAGGAGGAAACCTTGAGATACGTAATGATGCTTAAAAATGAAAGAAAGTATTCGTTTGCTTTTACATGTCCTAATACCGTATGTTATCCAAGAATTGCTTTTCCGTGAAATATTTAATTTTCTCTTTTGAATAGGAAAGCAAGTATTAAAATGAAATGAAAGCGTTGAAAAAATGTATTTATCGTTTGTACCAACAGTATTGTAAACCGCGTCCCATGACTCTTGCAGCAGTGTAATTGATGAATAATTTTATTTTACTTTTAGTAAATAATCTATTCATACTTGTGTTATTCATAGTGTCAGTGTTCGCATTTCTTATAATGGTAAGAATTTGTGCATCGTGATCGCTGTATCCTACATCTTTTGTTTCAATTTCATATCGAGTAGTGGTTTTGTTAATTATTATTTGATCGATTGCCTTCTTTG